GTGTGTGTGTGTGTGTGTGTGTGTGGGAGGGGAATGGGCTTGATGCCAGAAAGCAGGGTGGGTACACTGTGACTGCACATCCTGCGTTCCTGCGAGTCTCTGCATGCTTTATATAGATTTATTTTCCTGCTGCTGTGAAGTCAGATAGCGGAAACATGCCCTTTTAAATGCATTTTGAAAATATAGATTACTGGATTGCGGCTCGGCTCTCAGAGCCGCTGCCTTCATGTTCGTCTGAAATGCAATGCTGATTACGTGGGAGCTATAAAAGAGGGGGAAGCCACGGTACATGCTGTCGACGTGCAGGCCAGAGCAAAGAGGAGCTGCGGTTTCGTAGGTTGGCCGTGAATAGGTGCAATAAAGAAACGCATCGAATCATCATGAACGTGTTATTGTGCAGAAAACCAGACGAATGGCTTTTTCCAAATGAGAATGAATTGGTGACAAAAGCATTAAACATGTATGCATTTGCCCTTTTAAGCTGGGTAATTATGCAGCAGGTTGCCTGTGTAATGGCACAACAATGAAAGCTGTAATTCACTTCATATATTTTTTACAGCTGTCTAGCAGCCAGACGTTGCCCCAGCTTCCCAAATGTGTAATAATGAAGCTGTTTTCTTTGCATTTCTGCCACCTGTGTCGAGCTGCAGGTTATGAAGATCTCTGTGTGCTCTGTGTTTGCAGGAGGGACAGCAGTCTGGTGAAAGAGGAGATCAAAGCCTTCCTGGGGAACAGGAGGATCTCTCAGGCAGTGGTGGCACAAGTTACCGGTTAGTAGCTGACACGCTCAGCCACGTCACTCGCATCAGCCGTTTCCTGTTGCCATGCCACGTTCGCTCCTCCTCACTTTTGACATTGGCGTTTGAGGAACTTTGTGTTATTGTGAAAAGCTTGTGTCCTGACCCCGAAGACATCGTAGACTTGGGCTGCCCCCTAAACACTGACAAAGCGCCTGATTTCACGCATCTGTCAGTGGACCTTTTTTGTGTGTCTGCATCATCTCACACATAACAACACAAGATCATTTTTACACGTCGAGCTGTTTCTCACAGATTGGCGGGGTGTTCTTGAATTCATTATGAAGCGAGTCTGTTCGTCGGTTTCTTCTTTGAAAGTTGATACGCTTCCTCTCATCCTCCACATGAACTGAACGTCTTGTTCAGCAGTCGTTGTCCTGAGTTCAGTGCACGAACCAGATTTGCACCTGCTGCAGGATCTCAGTGGTGACCCTGCAGTGCTGCTGTGCAGTGGAGCTGGAGTCTGAGCGCAGCATCAGAAGCTTGTGGATCCTGAGCCTGCACACAGCTGTTTAGCTGCAGCTGGAAGGAGAGCGAGGGCCTTTACACACCCATGGTTTGGTTTCTCCTTACACAGGAAAATGTTTGTGAACTCATCAACATGTGAGAATATTTAGTCCTCTTATTGGCCAGATGTGCCTGAGAAACAAAGTGAATATAGGAGGAAGGTGTTCTGGGTTGGTGGAGAACATGGAGAATTTTACATTAATTTCATGGCTGCGAGCCAGAACTTTGCACGCCCACCCTTTGGCATCCAAAATGCAAAGGATACAAGACTACGGGAAGGAACTTAAATTTCCACCTCAGATCGAGGTCGCATCACGTTCACACTACAAATAAAAAGTTCATTCTGCGGTTCCGGTCGTGGTTCCTACCACGACCGGAACCGCAGCTGGATCATGGTTTTGCCAAAACACTCGGCCGACACTGAAGCGCAGCACAGGAGTGTGTAAACTGACCGGGGCAGTGTTTGCATGCCCACGGACCAAATTACTAAAGGCCCAGTGTCACAGGCCTAGTTTGAGATCAGTTTGCATTGAAGACACGCGGGTGCCTGTGTTCACTAACTAAAAGCTGAGCAGCAGTAAAACTTGCAAACGGGAAACAGAACTTTTGCACCACATGTTTCACAACACGTGGTGCAAAAGGCGCCACACAAAGGGTTTTAAAATCACGTTTGTCCCCAAAAACAGCATGACGCTTCATATTGAGCAGAGGCAGCTGAAGGCCAGTCGGTGCTCTGACATGAGGCGAGCTGAGGCTGTACGGGCGAAGCTTGGGCCAGTTGTTCTCAGGTCAGGTTTAAGGTGGAGTGCAAAGAAAGGCTGCTTTGTTACCAACAAGTCACCTGTATAATTCTGAACTCTGTATTACAGTTGACCCGTAGAAGAACACCCCTGTGCTGTTGCACACATTGTGGGTTTGTGTGACTTTAATACCTGCAGAAAAACAAAAACAACAAAGGAATGTAACTAACATTACTCAATAACCAAACAGGTGCTGCAAAATAAGGCCAGAAACCGTGGCATTTAAAAAGTCGTACAGCTCAAACTCAGACCCAGCGTCCAGCAGCGTTTGACTGATAAGTGATGGAGGAAGACAGAAAGTCTGAACTTATGTGAGAGGAAACGCCGTGTGGTCCTTTTCCTATTCTGCTCTGTGTCTGTTGAACTCTTCCAGTGCTTGTCTACACTTTGTGCTCTGTGCAAAAACCACTGTGATGTAATTTGATGTGTGGCTGCTTTCCAGGCATCAGTCAGAGCAGGATCTCCCATTGGCTGCTGCAGCACGGCTCCGACCTGAGCGAGCAGAAGAAGAGGGCTTTCTACCGCTGGTACACGCTGGAGAAAACCACACCAGGTACATCTGGCTTGATTAACTGGCACAATATGTTTTGGCGCTTTGCCCTCATTCGACAGTTGGCAGTTGAGAGTACTTGATAGTGGGGGAAGGCGTGACCCTGCAGTTTGTGTGTGTCGCTCAGTGGAAGCAAATCGGAGACGATCTCCTCTCCGTATAAGATCTGCTAGTCACATGCTTTGAATCCGTCGTAGCGATGCACACGTACACGAATAGCACATTTGACTGCGGCTGTTGCTTAGCAGCACACTGTCTTGTTAATTTGTCATTTCTGCAGCAGTTATGAAGGATCAAAGCAAACGGAAAGGCTGTTTCACCTCCACCGAGGTCAGAAACGAGGAGAGCAGAGTAGAGTCAGCACAAACACAGCCTAAGTTGATGAGAGTCGGGGAGGAGCAGCCGACTAGGAAATGAATAAATAATTGTTTTGTCCTGAGCATCCTTCACTCAGAAGGCAGCAGAGCGGCAAAGCAGAATGAAGATGGAAGAAGAAACCTCGCAGTGAGCTCCGCACCAGTGTGGATGCCCCGTCGTCGCCTTCCACGTGACATCGCTGCATTGTTACAAGCCGTTCGGTCATTGCACTGGAGATCGGTTCACCGCCACCACTCTAGTCTGAGGTCTCCATTTGGCTTTGATTGGTGGGACAAGGTGGGAGGGGCCAAAGTTTTCTGTTGCTGATGAAGCCATAGTGTCAATCTTGGTGAGAAGTCTCGAGGTGCACCTTTCCTGTTTAAAACTTAAAGACCATTGAACAAGAACAAATCTCTTTACTGAAAACAGGGGTTTCAAACTCGCGGCCTGGGGGCCACTTGTGGCCCACGTCACCCCTACTCGCTCACTGTGTACACTTCTGTCTGCGTATACGAACACGGTGGGAGCAGAAGTGCTGCTGCGTGGGTTACTTTGGTCGTTCGATGAAAGGCTTCACTTAGTTCAAATCTGCGTTCACGTTTGTTTGTTTTACAATATTTGAAGTTTAAAAACACAAACACTGCTTTCTGTTTGTTTTGCAGTAGAACAGCAGAGTGGCCCTCAGCTTGTTTACGTTTGACAACCTCGTTTAAAGTGTTGAAAAAACAGTTTCGTGTTTGGCCTCGTGGCTTTAAGCAGAGCTACAAATTAGCCTGGGTTCTCACAGTTGTTGCCAGTGCTAATGGGAACAAAAGGTATGTGTATTTATGTGGACAAATGTCTCCCAGCATATGTCCCAGTTAATTGTTTTCTTCAAAGCTTGTTTCATGAGTCGGTCCCAACAGCAAAGACGTAAAGATAGCAGCAGAGTTTGCCTCTCTGAGCTCAGCATGGAGGCAAAGAAAACTCGCTGCCTCCACTGTGATAATAAAGTAGTGAACATCTTCTGGTATTTGCAGAAATGTTAAATGTTAACAAAAACAGTTTGAAAACTCGGAGGTGCTCTAAGAAAAGTGGAAGAAGAGCTCCAACAAGAAGGGACTACAGGAAGTGACCCGGTGATCAACTAGGAAAGTAAGAATCTGCATCCAACTCGAGTAACTTGTAGCTGTGTAGCATCAGATTCAAGGTAGGACTGCAGTACGAGAGGCATGAAGGTTTCCTGTGTCGTCCTAACTGATGACTCTGTCACTTCTTCCATATTACAGTGTTTTGATGACTATATTATGGGATCTACTCACTTAGAGCTCAGCGGCAGTTAAAGATGTGACTTTATTGTGTTAGATAAGGAAATGTTGGAACCAATGACGTTTGTTTTAGAGAAATGTGGCTGTCAGCAGAACGACAACGGTAGAAATCTAGAAATCACTACTACACCAAAAATGTTTCCAAATTATGTAAAGATTTAGGATTTACCTCTTGGCTCTTGACCTTCAGTGAGGTCATCTTAAATTATCCAGGTGTTTGACTGTCACGATGTCTTGGATTTGGAAGCCTGTTGTAACGGCGACTAACTGTCCCAAACTGAAGAGAAAAAAACGATTTGTTGTTATCAAGTAACTTTGGGTTTGCTGCTGTGTCATCCTGACTCCACACTGTAAAGGGTTAACAGGCGAAACGAGAGGCCGGCGCGTCCTTCAGATCCGGCGTGTGTTTTCTGTACCGCCCTATAGCCAGGCAGCAGACGTCCCACGCCTTGTTCTCTGCAGCATGTTCCTCGGTGGAGCCCCGCCAACACCATCAGCTCTGGAAACTGCTCCAAGCGTCGCTGCTGCAGAGAAAACTGACTCCTCGTTCACGGCTTTCTGATAAACCGGCACCGGCCAGGTGATCCGGTTCGGCCTTGTTAAATGTCCGAGCTTTCAGTGTAACGTGGCGAGGTTTACAAGAGAGCTCGCTCGGTTTCTTTTCTGCTGCGATCGTTACCTGAGCTGACGTGAGTTTGGTGTCAGCATAACTCGTGAGATTACCAAAAGACGATGTCGCTTGGTTTTTCACGAAGGACTCGGGGCTCTGGCTGCCAGAGCGACCACGGTCCTCGCGCCATCACATCTCTGCGCTGCTGTTCTGTCCTTCTGTCACTTGTGCTTCCAAACCACAGCGACACCTGCAGACTTGTTGACTCTGAGTAATCCTCCTGCTGCAGGTGCCACTCTGAACATGCGACCAGCTCCGTTACCTCTGGAGGAAATGGAGTGGAGGCAAACCCCGCCCCCCCTCACCACCGCCCCCGGCACCTTCCGCCTGCGTCGGGGAAGCCGCTTCACTTGGAGAAAAGAGTGCCTGGCTGTGATGGAGAGGTGAGGTCCAGAGGAAGTGTTCATAACGTCGCTCTTATTTCCTCCAGGAGTCAAACGGTGCAGCCAGCAAAGCCTCGCACGCACTCAGCTGCACCGCGTGCACGACAAACAGCAGCCGCTCCAGTTTGTTGACATCGTCCTTGTGAAATTAATTTAATCACTGTGGCTCTTGTGCTATTTATAGCTACTTCAACGACAACCAGTATCCAGATGAGGCCAAAAGGGAGGAGATAGCAAACGCCTGCAATGCTGTTATCCAGAAACCAGGTAAACCAGCAGGTGCAGGAAGCTGCACATGCTTTAACTGTAATGAGTGATGGCTTTGTTTGCTGGCTACAGAACTGCGTCTGCGTGGTGCAGATATTGAAGCAGCTGTGAAACGCATCGTGTGAAATCTGTGCTCAGATTGACACAAACAGTCACTTGGACTTGAGGACGGCGTGACGTTATGAATGTGCTCGTTTTGAGCCGTAATTCATAATTATGACAACATTTGGCACAAATGTCTTAAAGCATAAAATGACAACATCAAGACAAGTCGTATCCAAACGTGGCCACACTCGGAGTATTCTTCTTCTTCCTCATCCCAAATGAAAGGTTTCAAATATGGTGATGCTGTGTTTGTATGTTTCCTCCAGGGAAGAAGCTGTCTGATCTGGAGAGGGTCACTTCTCTGAAAGTTTACAACTGGTTTGCCAATCGTCGCAAAGAGATCAAGAGACGTGCCAACATTGGTAATGTAGCTCTGTTTAAATTACAAACTGTTAATGAAATGTGTGTTACTGTGTCCCTGCCATGACCTCTGCAGGGGGCTGTAGCTCGGAGGACTTTCAAACCGCTCCAGCCAAACTCGGGTTCTTTAGATATGCCGGCAGTAGAAACATTTTTTTATCAGTGCGTTTATTTATTCTTTCAGATGTTTGAGCTTTTTCACATTTTGTCAGAAGCATTTTAATCAGTGATGCGAGATTTTAGTAGTATGGTTTCTTTAGTGAAGCTTTGGATGAGCCTCCTGCTCATCGGGGTTTCCGCTCTAATCCGGTCTGGACTTTGGTCACTGCAGCTTGACTTTATTTCCTCACTCTTCTGTCATTGGCTAGGTTCGCTGACGTCCCTGGGGTCGCCGTGTGACCCAGCGTGGGTCGAGCTTTGGCTGTCGGACTGGCGATGGGCAGCAGCAGTTGCTTCTTTCCTGATTGGCATTGTGTCGCCTGAATGCTCCAGACTTGCAAACTAACAACACTTGTGCTTTTATAGATGTGCTCACACTGCTGTTGATCAGCACCTGGCTGCTGCTTACCGTCCTCGTTACGATGGAGGCAGTAAGGCTGCAGTCGCACGCTGCTTCTGCTTTGGGGCTTAGTGTGCAGTTCTGTGGTTGATTTCCATTATGACCTTATATGTAAAACCTTGGAATTAGAAGACGGCGTGTTTCCTTCTTAGCGTGACGGCAGCTGTTCAACAGTGTAACGGTGAATTCGATCTGTCACATATTTGTCAGCCACTTGTAATCTGTTAAAACTTTGTGTCTGGGCCTTCGCTTGCTGTTGCAACTATAATAAATACAGGTTAAAGAGGTAGGGATGTTGGTTGCATTAAAGTATACGTAGAAACACAGTTTATAAGTAAGGTGTAATGTCCATGGGTGTTGGCAGTGCAGTTATCCTCCAATCAGGGTGGAGGTAGGGCATGTCTGACAGCCTGTGGGTAAAAAGTCTGTTCGTCCTCGTCTTGATCTTAAGACTCTTCGTCTTAAGTTGTCTCAGCCAAATATTTGCAGTATTGCTTCACTGCTTTCAGCTGTTTACTTCATCCTCACAGCAGCCTTTTACTGACTACTTTCAGACAGGTTCTTTTACTTTGGAGCATCGTTTCTTTCAGATGTATCAGGGCTTCTGTACAACCTCTCGTTGTGTCGCTGGCTTACAGTCACTGCTCTTATGTTTTGTAGTATTGTCAGTGATGCATCATAAGTCTAACGAGCCATCCTCTTTCTCCAAGAAGCCACAATCCTGGAGAGCCACGGGATAGACGTCCAGAGTCCAGGGGGACACTCCAACAGCGACGACATCGACGGGAACGACTTCTCGGAGCAGGTAGTGCAGAATGAACATGTGATCGTACTGAGAAAAGACGGAGCAGCTTTCTGTCTTCCAGCTTTGTTTTCATAATTGATCAACAACAAGCACGAAGCTGCGAGCTTCTCTTGTTAGTGAGCTGTGATCTTTTCTTTTACATGCTGCTCATTTCAGCTTTGTTGACTGTTCTGTCTAATTGGTCTCTGTCTCGTTAGTGTTAATAATCCCAACACGCAGCTTGCGGTGCACCCTGAATATACAAAGCACTTCAAGTTCTGTGCATGATTGAAACTTGAAAGGCGTCAGTGAGCAAATGTTCGTGCCCTCGTTTTGTCCTGTTACCAATGGAAACATGTCTGCTTTACCTGAACACACCAGCTTACTTATGATTGCTCAACATGCAAATCTCAAGCAACAAGGTTACATTTCAAAATATACGCTGCGGCTCCAGCGTTTTAGAACAGCCCGATTTGTCCAGTAATTTATTGCAGTTGAAGTCATTCGGTCCAGTGAACAGCTTGAACTGGTACAAAGGTAAGTGGTGAAACACCACAGGTTTAAAACAAATGATCCCAAAACTGAAACACAATGTCCGTTTCAGAACGATACAAAAAGACCTTTTTCAGGGAACAACATGGGTTAACTGTTTGAAGCTGCAGTAAAGGAGGTTGATCGGGCCTTGAAAGCTGCTGCTCCAACTTTCCTGGATCACTTCAGCCCCTCTGCCTGTAGTGTTGGAGCACACTGTGGTACCAGACCCTGGACAGCATCAGCTGAGCAGTATTGTACTGCAGAAAGCGTTGGCACAGAAATGGTGAGAAAAGGGGAATTAACCGTGGAAGAGACACAGACCGTCACAGAAAAGTAGGAACGTCACAGTGTGAGCGAGTCCAGTTTCCTTCAGCATCAAAGTCACTCAGAAACAAAGTGTGACAGGAAGATGTCTGCAGAGCCAAAGACACGCCTGAGTCAGAGGACAGCAGCCGGTGTGATGGGCGGCTCACTGCATCCTTGAGCAGAACCGTTTTTATCATTTGTTTCTAAACTCGGACTAATGGTGTCCAAAGCTGAACTGGAGATGATTATCCATGCTTTTATTTCTTGACGTTTAGACTCTGTAATGGTCTTTTTACTTGTTTTAATCAGCTTTAAATCATCTTCAGACTGTGCAGAAATATGCAGCACGACTTTTAACAGGCACCAAGCGAAGATCTCATATCACTCCAGTTTTGGCCTCCCTTCACTGGTTGACTGTAAGTTTTAGGTTTTAGTTTTAACCTTTAGGGTCCTACATGGTCAGGCTCCCCAGTACATATCTGCCCTGCTGAAACGCCATTCTGCTTCCTGAGCTCTGAGGTCATCAGATCAGAGACCGTTGGTGGCCCCACGCACTCGATTTAAAACTCGTGGTGATCGGCCTTTCAGCCAGTGCAGCACTCCCACTGGTTTTATTATTTATGTTTTTGATTCTGTTAAAAAGCAGCTGAAGACATTTTTATATCGGCAAGCTTCTAATTAATTGGTTGTATTTTACTGTTTCACATTGTTATTTGTCGTATTTCCATTCTTTTCATCTTCTTTGTTGTAAAGCACTTTGTGATTTTTATCAGCGAGAAGCGCTATATAAATACATTTTACTTACTCACAGCACAGCAGAGTCATCGTGGTCGTAGTAAGTCTCAGTTTCAGCTGTGAGGAGAGGACGGGCTGCAGCAAGAAAGCCATCAGCAGGACGTCAGAATAAGACAGAGGCTTGGTTCCACAGTGAGTGCCATCACCCGGCTGTTTGCTGATCCAGGGTCAGTGACTCGCACAGAGTGAGAGGCACCCTGAACAAAACAGCTACCGCAGCATCCTGCAGCACCATGCAGGACCCTCTGGTGTGGACCCAGTCTGTCAGGAGTTCATCCTACAGCAGGATAATGACCCAAACATCAGTCCAAGAACTACCTCAGGAAAACAGAACAAGATGGTGAGCTTGAAAACATGGAGTGTGCAGCACAGTCTCCAGACTGAAACCCCACCGAGCTGGTTTGAACTGGACAGAAGAGCGAAAGCAACGCAGCCTACAGGGTCCACATTCATGGGAACTTCTGCTACAGATATGGGAGAAGATTTGATTTCTGTTGTAGCCAGAATGCGACGGCTGCTCAGCTGTTATATCTGCCAAAGGAGACACTTCGGTCTATAAACTGATTCCATGATTTCTGTAACTCCAATCGTTTCTGTCAGAGTGCAATGAGACATTAAACTGCAGGATTTTCACAATAAAAGGCTGGAAAAGTCGGAGTTCTAAAACGTTTGACCAGTAGTGTGAATGTGTTTCTCCTGTGAGTAGGGATGGGTATCGATAAGATTTTCACGTTTCCGATTCCATTTTCGATTCTTTATCGATTCTTTTTAAAAAAGGAGAACACTAAGGTCGATCAGCTCAGAACTTTGTTTTATATCTTCTCTTTGAACAAGAGAGAAATGTAGGAGTAACATGGCCTTACAAACCCAACAGTGAGATCTTAAGAGATCCAGCCTACGGCTCTTCAATGGGGTGTCACAGGGTCCCCAGGAAAAACATTGTTATTGCTACAGAAGAATATTTATTATTATTTTACATTTACAAAGTATAACATAAATTATTCTGTAGCAATTACACAACAGTAATGTCCCTGCCTACAACTAAACATTCACTTACTGAAAATCATCTGCTGTGGCAAACGGGTGCAAGCCTTTGACCACAAACTGAGTCTCTGCTCGGTGACATTCGTCTATCCTGCCTGAAAGGAGACGCTAAGACTGCAGCGAGAGCTGCCAGCATCTGAGCCAGACTCTGTCTCATCATGGTCACTAAATGCACAGTAATGGCAGGTTTGTAATGAGGCAGATCGCGCTAACATAATATGCACTGTTGTTGATTATTTACCTGCTGCATTAACGGGAGAGGACGTGCAAACGTTACCGCTGCTGCTGGGTTGAGATTCACGAGTCCAGAATTAAAAACACGACATTCATTTAAGGTCATCGCGTGTTTGTGAGCAAATGCTTTTGCATATTCGTAGTGTTTCCTCCCTTAAATGAAATATCTACTTTGCAAGTATTGCAAGTTATCCTGTTGTCATCCGTTCTTGTAAAGTATGACCAAAGTTTTGAGCGTTTGAGCCACTGTGTTTCCTGCCAGGTAAATGACGCTCCGCAACGTGGCGACGTCATTCGGGGCGACTGGAATCGATAAGAGAATCGTTTGCAAAAATGGCAAACGATCCCAAGGAACTGAAACAGTGGGAACCGGTTCTCAACAAGAACCGGGTTTCGATACCCATCCCTACCTGTGAAGCACCGCTTGCTGTAACAGTGAAAGAGAAGAAGTCATTGTGCAGATTTTACAGTGCTTCTCGCTCTTCAGATGACCTGCTAGCTAACGCAGTAACTCTTTGTTGGAATACCTCCAGGCCTGTGACCTCCCCTATTTTGACAAAAGACCTCTCAGCCGACCTTTTGGCCTTTATCGCCTGGAGCCCACCTCGCCCACACAGGTATCCCACACACAGCAACACGCTGAGACGCTGATGTTTGTTACCATAGATTAGTGGATTGGATTTGGATTGAGTGAATCATCAGCCTTTGTCACGAGTTTCCCTTTTGTGTACCTTTGTGTGTGCGTGTGCAGCACAGCTGTAAATGAGGCCAAAGCAGAGCCACATTTGCATCAGACTGAGGTTAAAGAGGTCCCTCCATGTCCACAGTGCTCTCACATTTCTGATGAATATAGTAATCAGATTTCATGTCACTGAAAAGTTGATGACTTGCTCGATGTCACTGATTTTCAGGCTCTTGTCACGCCAGCGTGTTCTTAACATCCAAACGAAGCTTTTGCAGCAGACGTGGTTCATCGTCTTCAAACGTCCGTGTATCAGCCCTGCATTAACCTGACGTGAAAACATGAACATTTATTGTTGAAGCTTTGAAATATTCATTTTTTACAGTTAAACCTTTAATGATCAACAGCAGCGGTCCAAATCACAGACCCCTCTGAAATCACAGTGACTGGTTTGACCGAGAAACACAAACTACAATCGATTAGTATTGATTGATTATTGTATTGAGCCGAATTGTTTTCACGTAATACACACAGCAGAATCCTTGAATGAAGCTGACGGTGATATTAATGTGGGGATCCTCTCTGGATCAGCACGTTGCTGAGTGACAGAAGGATGAGGTGTTGTAGACGATCCCTGCGTGTGATCAACCACATTAAACAAACCGTGAATTTGAATCCAGCTCTCAGCGTAGTTCACTGCACTGGCTTCGTGTCCATTTACACGGGCATCTGCCTTCAGAGAGTGAAGGATCATGGGTCCCAGCACAGACATGATTGCATGAAGTCCTTCCAAACAAAAGCAAACATTTAGCCCGACAGGGGCGACGCTGTGCATCAGTAGCTGAGTGGTTGAACAGTGGGCTTGGACGAGTTCACCACAAAGGGGAAAGGTTAAAACAGCAGCATGAGAAGCACAGACAGCAGCTGCAGCGTTGCCCTGTTTCACTTTGCTCTTGCGCAAACTCTTCGTCTTGGATCCTCAGCAGGGGCCGAGCTGAAGAGGCAACAACAGCCCTAACACGAAAGAGGAGCCCACAGAGCAGGTGTGGTCTAACAGTGCACAGCTGCAGCTGCACGTGATGATGACGTGCAAAGGGTAGCACAGCACCTGGGTGGTCCCTAGTATGGGTGGGGGTGTGGCTGACAAAGCTAAAGTGTCACAGTTACCAGGAAATGAAGGGTTTCTGTCCACTAAAATGAAAGCTGGGGCTTAGTGAGCTGTGGATCAGTGCTGTAGTGTGCTGAGGGGGGGACACGTGGGGTCAAATGCATGCAGTTTCTGTCATAGTTCAGTTTTGTGCACACTAACTCAAATTGGCAAAGCTGTGAGTGCAGTGTGTTGCTGTTAGCGTGACCGTGTGGAGACTCTAGACTCTGTAGTCAGTGTCAGGCTGCAGACATGAACGTTACCTCCTAACTGGGGATGGGCACCTCAAGCAAAAACACCAGGCTTTCCTCAGAGAGCCACTACTGTCACCTTGTGGTAGACGTATCCCATTACATGCTTTACTTACTTACATACTTTTTTTTTTGTCTTTTTAAATGATTTCCTTTAACATGTCAAAAGCACGTGTTCTTTCCTTACCTCTGATGTAGAGACATTCTGTTTCCTGTCATGACCTTTGTCCTTGATGTTCCTCCCAATGCTCCTCCCTCTCCCAGGACGACAGCGCAGCGCACAGCGAGCACCAGGACCCCATCTCTCTGGCTGTGGAGATGGCTGCCGTCAACCACACCATCCTGGCCCTGTCCAGAACCGGAGGGGGGCCCAACGACATCAAGACGGAGTCCCTGGAGGACGAATGAACTGCACAGGACCTGGGATGGAGGAAGGGGACGAGAGAAGGGGGAGTGTAATAGATGGAGTTGGGGGACTGAAAAGAGACCAAAGTAATGCTACTTAGTAAAGCTTCATCATCTGCTCCTCAGCCAGCCCCTTACCAACTCTCCCTTCTCTCCTGGCCTCCCCCTTCCTCTTCCCTCCTCAGAGTAATCCTTGTCAACAGTAATTACCCCCAACCCCGCTCCACCTTACTCCATATATTGACACAGCTGGCAGAAATGGGTGACTGTAGGCCCTGTGATCTCTGTGGAAATGAGCCACAGAAGAAAAGGCGGCTCCTGCAAACCCCTCTAAACGGCGGCTCTTGTCCGGGAGTGTGAACTCTCTCTTCCCCTCAGTACAGGATACCTCTTCTTTCCTTACCTCGTCCTTGCTCCCCTTCTACTTCCCTCTCCAGCCTGGTCGTCTGAGCCGATCCTCAGTCTTATCTCACCTCAACGTCAACCTCAGAAAAGTAATGTGTACTGTATATATATTATATACATGTTTTATACATATATATGTATATACATATATATGTATATGGTTCTTATGGTTCTCAGTCTCACTCACCTCATGGTGTGCTACCTATCTACCTACTTACCTGACCCTCAGATTCACCTTATCATTGTGCAATTCATCAGAAGAGCAACCTCTGGCCTAACATCTCGGGAAAAACGGAAGTCAGTCAGCAAAAATGATATCAGAGCTGCGCTGACACTCTTCTCCTCTGTCCATTCCTCAGTAGAATAAATGGCTTTCGGTTTCCTTGCAGTAGAGCTGCTAGGTTGGATAGAAACGTATCTGAACTTTCTGTAGTAGCCTTACGCTCACGCAGACAGACGTTGTTTTTTGCAAGCAGGTTTTCATACAACAGGGATGGGGACTGTGAATCACTGCACTACGAAACATGTTCAGCACACACTGAGGATGGCAAACGGTATCAAGGTTTCTATCCAACAGCAGCAGCAGTGATTCGAGGTTCCTTACTTGCTCTTCCTCTGGTTCTAGGCCAAACAGCAACTGGACGTAGTCATTTCTGCTCCCTGTGACACTATTGTTAAGTACTAAAGACTATGAGGATCAAGCTGCGGTCAATGTGATAATCGAGCAAACTTTGTAAGCTATCTAATAAGACGAGTTATGCTTTGTTTGAAACATCATCCATGCCAAAGGAAAAGAGAGACGCTAAGCTAATACTGATCTGGAAACAGTGTTAAAGTCCATCCAAAGTTATTTATACCAACTCCTTTGGCCTACGCAGGTTTATTTCTTGACTCAGTATAGGCATGACACTACAGCAGGTCTGTGTCAGTAAAGGTAAGTTTTAGCAACCAGGCATACAATGATAAAATACCCTGTGACGCTGCCTCGTTATAATAGTAATGTGCTTTTTCTAATATCACAGAGGTCAAATTAGATCAAGTCCACAGTGAAAATGGTTACAAATATCAGAAACGTGTTCGAGGCTTCTTTCATCTCTGTAGCCTCAGACAAAAACTTGCCATTTCAAAGGGAATCAGAGTCACCGACTACTAAAGAGGTGATTTTTCCTTTTTTTGCCCTGATGGAAGGATCTCCAAAACCGTCTCTTACTGAATATCACTATGTTGTGAGGTGGGTTGTTCTTATTCAGTGCTGGGGGACTCGACTGTTTATTTTCTGTATCATTTTGTTTGAAGCAGTCATTTCTCTATGCCAGATATGTCCTAGCACAAAGTGGAGCTAGAAGCTAGGTTTGCTCAGCTTAGCCACAGGACAGAAGCATCAAGGCCAGCTTTGTCTAACGGGAACAAACCAAATGTCTAAAGTTTATTCTTGAACATGTGACTTGCGGCTTTTCTCTGTGGCTACTTGTTGATCCTTTAACTCCGGCTTGAATTAACTGAAAACTAGCGTTAGCATTGACTGTTAGCTTAAAACACAATAATTTTTCTATTTATTTTTTTTACGTTTTTTCGTGATTTATGTGTTTTAATCAGTAAAGAAAAAAAACGTCAACCAAGTGCACATTTTTTCCCTTTTGTAAAAAGCCTGACTTTCTGCTCAGCTAAGTTAAGCTAGCTTCTAGCATTAGCTCCGTACAGTCGTGACAACAATTTTTTAATTACATTCCCCACGAAGTCAGAGTCCCTGCATTAGCGATGGTTTTGGAGAAAGAAAAGAATATTCTACGAAGCGGGATTAAACTAAACAGTCTGCCAGAAATTTAATGCCGGTCCTCAAGTTTGTGATAGTTTGATTTGGCTGTTGGTGATCATGCACCAAATAAGCTCACAGGTTTAATACTGCGGTTAATGTCTGGTTCCTGCTTGTACACCAACTTCCAGTCCTCAGCTGTAGTCTAGTAAAGCTTGATTTAATTGTACTGCTTCAGTAAGTTCAAAGCTGCAATACAGGGACTCTCAACTGGGACCTGTGTTTGAAAAAGAAAGAGCTCTCAGCTAAAAACAGTATGTATTTATACTCATTTTTATGGTATTGTACAAAAACAAATGTTTTGAAATGAATCATGCTTTTTTTTTCTAATTATTTTTCTCTTTTTTTAAATTCTCATTATTTGACTGTTTTGCTCATCCCTTATTTGACTGAACAGCAGTCTTCCCGTTTGTATTGGACATAGTAAGCTACTTTATGAAAAATAAACCATGATGCACCTTAATGAAAATTAGTATTAACTAAAATTAGTATTTAACTAAGTATTGATGTTAACTAAACTTTACATGTAACCTTTAACAAAAAGTCCAATTTCCAATATATGATGGGGAAAGAAGAGAAATTCAAGTAGAGCTGCTTCATTCTAAACTAAAGCCCCAGTATGTGCCAGTCTCTTTGGTAAATAGCACCACACCAAACTCCCTGGTAAAATCTCCAGTTTCTGATTTGAACCAGCGCACGTGTAAACCGTGCACCCGTTTTTGACTCGGACAGATTGAAGCATTCATTGAACTGAGAGCGTGTCTCTTTAAACTACTTGAAATGATCACCTTTTTTTTTCCTTCTAAAGAGTTTGGGGGGCAGTTTGGCGTGATGTTCCCCTACAAAACATGCTGCGTGTTAGAACTGGTGAAATTAGCATGCATTCAGAGATTATTCCCACTATGAGACACTTTTAAATGAACTGCCTTTGACTTTGAGAGATGCCGTGGCCCAGTTAGCAAGTACAAGTTTTAATCCGCTAGTATTTTTGCATGAACATAGAAGCTTGACAGAAAAGTTCATGGGGTGGATGAAAGAACCCTCAGGTGCTCACAAAGTAGATTGTGCTATTTTTCTTTTTTTTCCCCAGAAGAAAACTGGAACCCACCTCGAGCATGACACGGGCACTTCCCCACTCGCTGTCATGCATACTCAGTGGAAGTGCTTGCTGTGAAGGGGCGTCCTCTCTTGTGGTTGTCAGGGTCAACATGCCTACGTGTCCTTGTGTGTCCCCTAGTGCAACACCATCCACTTCATCCCAGTATAGCTCAGAAAAAGAGGACTGAATGCTGTTGTATCAATCTCAAATCTAGTTATGTTCAAAATTACTGTATTGCCCATTTCAGAATTTAGTGCCTTTTTTGGACAGTAGACTGTTCTGTAATTAAGATGTAGTATATATACATTTTTTGTACAGTTTCTTTGTTCATTTTTTAACTTGTGTTTATTTTAGTATGATATATATATATATATATACATAAATATAAATATAATGTACAAGAGAATAAAGCTATATCAATGAGAATGTGTGTTTATGGTCTTGCTGGCTGCATGTATGCAGATCTATACACAGATACAAAGTACACGAATCAAAGCAAGCTTTTAATAATTATCTGAGTCTTACAACCAAAGTTTTCATCTGATGTAAAATGTATAGAAATCATACATATACCAACAAGACAGCGTGCATCACTGTCACAACAGCGTTTGCATTCAAAGGCTTTATGGGGGGCCGGTCTCTCGTCAAAATGCCCGGGCCGATTCTTTGTCCCAGTCCAGCCCTGGGCACGACACGCAGTGAGTTAATCTGAGAAGGTGCATTAAAAAATAAATGGCCGGGCCAGCGGTGCACATCGCAAATTAACTCGCATACACACATTAGTTGTGCCGTTTCTTAATGACTGTATCTTAGCTAACAACCCCAACTACCAGATTCAACTTGTAATTGGCTAAAAACAACAGAGGGACGTTGCTAGCTGGCAGTTTTTTCGAGCGATGTTGAAATTTCCACATTCAGACACTTCAAATGCTTCAGCAGCTGTCCGCTCAGCGCAGCATCAGCACCACGGAAATACACGGATACATCCGAAGACTCGAGACTGATCAAACCAGAAAGCTTTAATGAGCAGCTGGTTTGCCTCGCATTAACTGGCTGAGTTAATACCAGTTAAATCAATACGAACGCAGCTGGAATCCACAGCTGTGCGTGTTCATGGAGCCTGCATGTTCACCTGCTGGACATCACTACCTGACAGGTTTAACTGTCTTCAGAACATTGCAGAGGCCTTACTGACAGTGTTTGGCTCTACATGTCTGTGTGAGCAGGTTTTCTCTCACATGAGTCCTCAGGTAGCCTCTGAATGCTGGACACTGGGAGACCCGTGTCTCTGAGTGGGAGACCAGAGATCACAGTAACATGTGTGTCTCTGTATTAACAAACATGCCATAATGGCTTAGTTTATTTTTCTTATCATTGTTGTGAGGAGACCATAAATAGCATTTGTATTTTCTGTTGTACAGTTCATTTGCTGTTATGGATAAAAAGTCTTTTTTTGTTTCAAAATAGCTGATAAGTATTCGCTGATAGCTGCCAACATCTGCAAACAAATATAACTCTATAAAGTTCTATATAGTGTGTAACTGTTATTATAGAGCATTAATAAATTTATTGCTAATGCATCATATGGCACACTGACTCCTGAGGAAAATTTAGATTGTTTTCATATATAACAGGTCACATAAAGGTTTGGTGAGTCCAAGCTTAAGTATATATTCCAAACAATAAAACCTTATTTAACGCAAATGTTGTGAATAAACTTGAAATGATGGATTTTAACCTCTGAAGACCTGAACTCTTTCATGGCATGCATTTTGATTTCTCTTTACTATTTGGGCTTTATACTGTTGATAGAACACTGTAAAGTCACAATTGAATAATGATATGCAGAACTCTTTTATTTGGTGTCTGAACCTGGCTGCATGCCAAATATCCTTGGGCAAGATACTAACCCCGTGTTTGCCTACTGGTGGTGGTCAGAGGGCCCGGTGGCGCCTGTGTCCAGCAGCCTCGCCTCTGTCAGTGCGCCACAGGGCAGCTGTGGCTACAATGTAGCTTGCTATCGCCAGTGTGTGTGTGGATGGGTGAATGACTGAATGTAGTGTAAAGCGCTTTGGGGTCCTTTGGACTAGCAAAGCGCTATACAAATGCAGGCCATTTACCATTTCTTTCAGTTAGAACCTTCCTAAGGAAAAAAGACTTGGGATGCAGCCAATGACTTTTTAGACCCTTAACTTCTCCTTGCAGGGATCTTCTAGGATGGTGAGGATATTTTCGGCAGACTTAAATTGGTCATCAGGCAGCGATTTCATACATTGATGTCTAATGTGGAACTTGATCTGCACTGGCGTGAGTTGGCTTCACAGCATAAGTTAGCGTGACGCTTGTAAGAAGTAAACCACCTTCGTGGTACAGAAAACCCAGGATCAACCCTGAAGTTATCTGGATAAGTCATAAATCCTGTTTCATTGGCCTCTACACTATGAAGATAGACTTTAAGCTTATCCGGGTAACTTCAGGGTGCGTTTTATTTTACAATCACTGTAATTTATTTATACAAGTATAGAAACATTAGTATTTCTATATGCTTCTGTTACCGGCACCAGACCTAGGGGAATCTGGACCGGCAGCAAGCGGCACACAGGCTAGAGAGCACTGCGTAGCCAGATATGAGCAAACTGTGGATTAATAGAGAGGACACCCTAGTTAGTGTCTTGCTCAGGCCAGAGCTCATTTATTTCTGCAACATATACACAATAGAAATGCATTCTTTCCATAAAATAACAGAGTTCACAAACAAAAATAAAGTTACAAAAAGTTTCTCTCAAAAGCAAAATAAATACAAACTAATTCAAAATGACTTTACATACAACTTAAACAAAACACTCGCGGCTAAAGCAGAACAACATACCAAAATAACCCATCTCACATTCACACAACCTTTCCCCACATTCGCGCCAAATACGCTATTACTTTTGAACATGGCGTCCCCTGAACGCAACACAACAGACTGCAAACGTTGGCTGTGCCCCAATTCAGGGTCTGCACGCTTGAAGTACGCATTTTAAGTGCGATTACGTCACCGCCACGCGACGACGGCTGTTCCAATTCGAAGTGTGCTTCAAATGCGCCGTCGATTTCCCCAAATCCGGTTGTTCAGTCTGACGTCACTAGCCGTGTCTGGGTCTAAACTCCGCTGCAGGTCCATATATCAAACGATCACTGTGGCATTACTGAGAGTTGAAAAACTGTCTAAAGTCTTTCATCTTTAATAAAATGATCAGCGTTCTGCTCTACCAGGTGTAACAATTGAGTTTAACATCCAGGCATCCATGAAAACGGAATTTATGACATTTAACGGAGTTAGAAGTTAGCAGGGAGTTAGCTCGCTAGCTTCTATCTAAATACAATATAGCATGTCCTGACTGCGGGGGTTTGGAAACAAATTAAAACGTACAGCTCTGTTATCACTTCCAACATAAATGAAGACTGAAAACTAAACAGCAGTGACGTTTGTAGGGTTACTGAAGTTGGGCTAGCTGCTATATAATGATGTGCTACGTGACCGCTAGCGACACAGCTATGTTAGCATAATATAAACAAGCTAACTTTTTTTCCACTCGATAAAAGTTACTGTGAGTGTTCTCGGTGGTCAGGAACAAATGTAATCACATGGCAGGATGCTGTAAAAGGACCAAACTTCAGCCAGGAGAACAACTGAGATAATCCATCCACAATACGAGGTTAGTCATTCATATACTGCTGCATGGGCTGGGCTGTAGTTACATCCTAAGGTTTTAAAAACTGAGCTTAAATAAATGATTAGCGGTAATAAAAGCCGAGGGAGGTCAACAGGGATCACTGACTGTTTTAGGAGCTTTTTGAGATCAAATAGAAGAAAATACAAAACATTAAACATGTTAACAACACAAAGGCCAAATAATTTCCCCCAGGGATCAATAAAGTATTCTGATTCTGATTAAATGCAGACTACTTTAGACCCGGAAGTAGGATTCGTCGCGTCATCACTGAACAACCGGATACCAAGCGTGGTCCCATACATCCCACAATGCAGGCTGCCACTGAGCTCTGCCCAGGGGCGTTTCTGGGATTTTTTTAATGGGGGGGCTAACAATCAGAAATAACTGTTGAAAACGACCTTGGAAGACGTTTATATATTCATGAGCATTTTTACATTCATAGAACAATGACCATATTATTGTTTTCCTAAAAAAATGATTGTGAGGATTTATTAATTTAACAGTATTTATTTGTAAGAAACACTGCATATTGTATTATATACAAGGACCAACACATTTTCATTTAGAAATCAAAGTATATATATTCATTTAAAAGAAAAGGAAATGGTAGGTTTTTGTTTTTCTTTAAACATCAGAATGGCTGGTGTGGTTTTGTTAGCTTATTTAGGATGGAGGTGATCATTTTTGGGACCATTTTCTGTAATTCCACTGATACCAGAACATGTTGTGCACTCTCACAGTTCTTGCACAGGTCCTTTTGGAGGTTTTTCACTGTGCATTCATGCTACAGCGCTAATGTTTCAAAGCACTCAAACAAAGGCTCAGTCTAGGTGCAAATTTCTGTCTCCAGTGTACTTGTCATATTAAAGAATCACATAGAAACATAAATGCTTATATTTGCTCACAGAAAAATATTAGTATAAAATAAACCCAGGGTCAAACTGAAGGTTTCTAGAAGTTGCCGAGAAGCTAAAAGTCCTGCTTCATATTGCAGAGGCCTATACTACAACATCCCAGGCTCCTGTTTCCAGGGTAACCCTCTGATGTTTACTAGCAGATTTTTTGTCAGTCAGCAGTATCCTGCCATGTCGTTGCTTCAGTCAGAATTTAAGAGAAGTTACCAAATGTCATTCAAGCGTTAGGAGCTGATGTGTTGTTGCGCTGCAGGGTTTGGCCCAGAACCTGCTGAAGAGAACATCTGAGCGGATTGATCGCCTTTGAAGTAGTTTCTAACATCCCAGGAGGAAGTACCAGGACATCATGTTAGTGTTCAGGAAGGAAGGAAAAGACATTTGGAAACCAGCAACCATGAATTTCACTGAGACATCATGTCCACAAATGAAAACAGAAATGATTACAACATCTGTGCAGGAACAGCTGGTCACTGCTTTCCAAATATCAGCGCTTCTCACCTCAGACTTACAGTCTGTGTGGACAGAAGGAGGACAGAGGACCGGTGGATGAGGTCGTGGAGTGGTCTGGGAGAAATCACCGGGTGGTTAAAGAAAGAAAAAGTATGAATAGCATGAAACGGAGGAGCTAAGCTAGACCAAAGGTTTTGCAGAGGCACTCTTTTTGTTCTCTTGAAAAATAGATAAAGATGGTGCTGAAAGATTCTCAAACTTTATTTTTCCTTCTCTAAAGTTAGCTTAAAAAAATAAAATGATAAAAAAAAAAAAAATCCTAATAAAACCCAATGGAGATGATGCAGTGATTATGTAATCTCTTTTACCAGATCTCAAAAAATGAGTACATAATGTACCAGAGAATAAAGCTGTAACACACACACACACTCACACTCACACACACTAAATTGATTTATTGTCACTTATAAAAAGTTGATCTTTAAACAAACATTCAAGCTTGATCATTTTAAATGCAAATGTATAAAACACATTTCTGCACAAAAACTAACACAACATTAAAACCAACACAATCCTCACCAAACATCAGACTGCAGCACATACAGGGAAAGTCACAAGTAACGTTCTCAAACACCCTCACGTGAAACTAATGCAAATTCCTGCATTTGCTTGACAGGAAGAGGAAAATATAGATTTATAACTGTTGCAAAATTCCAGCAGTAGCATTTTTGACGAGTGCAATGATTTTAACCAGCAGAATCACATCAGAATAATCCCCTTTATTCCTACACAGTGCGGTGGGACGTGTCCAAGGCATTTTTCCAAAGGCTTTATTCAAAGCATTTCAAGGCACAAGACTAATAGCACACCATATAGTCATACATTACAAAACACACATCTGGATGTCTGCACTCATATTTGTTTATCTTTGGAACTGCACGAGAAAGAAATCGGCTAGCCTTTTTTTTTTTGGGGGGGGGGTGGGGGGGCATTTTTGGTATGCACAGTAAAAAGGAAACTGTGCCTCCTGTGAATCCGTCTGTAGCGTACTTCATGTGTACCCTTGCTTCCTTACACGACATATACAGGTCGCAGTGCTTTGATTACAATGTAATGTCTTTTGAATAAATACATTTATAAAAGGTTAGCGTGTAATTATCTAAAAGCATTCACATTTTCAGATAAAACATCCAATGTCTGCCAAGTACGTCACACAGGAATGGAGTCCTGTAACAGGAAAAGCCAAAAATCATCCTCCAGACACGAGAGCGTGGAGTGACTCATCCAAACTTACTGTCAAACCTCCAGTAAATCGGTCTAAAGTACGCCAGACACCACTGTGCCAGTAGGCTTAAGCTTTTGTCCCATATGGGCAGTGATGTGCTGGCGATGCCCAGCAATGAGCCATTTAAGTGTTCCACGACTTGCGGTTCTCCCCCCTGCCGCGACCGGTTGATCCGGTTCCACCTTCGCCTTTGGCCAGAGCTGTAAGGGCTGCCAGGTTTGGGCTGGACCCCGACAGATGGGCACTACGGCGTTTTTGTTGCTGCTGGCGATGGCGTTTGGGATCGCCACGGGTTACTCTGTCAGGTCTTACCAACACGCCGTAACCAGGGTTGCAGTGGAAGTAGTGCTTACCAGCCACTGACCCATCGTTCTTTCCTGAAAGAAAGAGGAAAATACATGAATCGTAAAAATTTAAAAAAGCAATAATGAGGCTTTAATTGGCAGTGCATACATGTTCATGAAGAATGAGAACGATCAGATTTGGTGTTGGGTCTAATCTAAACCTACCTGCTGGTACTTCAAGTTCCACTCCAACCCAAGTCCCCTCTGCAAAATCTGTGGGTCCCAAATATCGCACCGTACCACTCTTATTAGCCCCCACACTCACAAACTCGCCCTCTTTCAACCACTCGGGAAGAACAGCAGAAGCAGCTGTATCTCCATCCTCTGTGTCAGAGATGATTTCCAGACTTTCCTTCGGCACTGAAAGGTTGGGTCCTGTCCCACAACTTGAGGGTTGGTTCACCAGTGTGGGGGTATCATGCTCCTCCTCACTCAGAATCTGCAGAAATGACTTGAGGTCTGAAGACTTCACTTTCTGGATCTTGAAGGGGTTAGCTACTGAGGGACCTGATTTGGGAGAAGAAATGGGGCCTTTGGCAGGTTTGACAGAAGCTGCTGGCTGCTGAACCTCACTGGTGGCTGAGGATGAGGGTAGGAAGGAGGCACCATTTGTTTCTGGAACATCAGAAGTTGACTGTTGCTTGGATGAAGCTTGAGCAGCCAGGTCTACAGGCGGTCCTGGATCAGGACTTGAGGCTTGGATCAGGCTTGGAGAAGGATCTTGAATAAAGTCTGAAGCCGTCTGATCTTGTGTGCGCTGCTGGGGTTGCAGGACGGTTGATTCCAAACGCCTCGCTCCTTCTTGAGCAGATTGTTGTGTCTCATTAGAAAACGCCAGTTCACATTCTACTTTGTTTGTGGCAGCCACCTCGAGATCTTCTCTTGAAGGAGTCTTTGGTTCACTGTGGTCTACATGGCGCACTTCTGTCTGCTTGGTCCCATTGTTTTGTGCCACCTCTGAATGATCTCGTTGCTCTGATCCACGGTCCTGTTTTTGTTCGGTCTGGTCTGGCAATTCTGCTTCTGCAGCTGGATCTGATTTTTCGGCCTCCTTTAACTGGTCTGATAGGAACCGATTTGGTTCTTGTTGACTCGGCATAACATCTGGTTCAGATGGCTCCTGCTCCATACTCTCTGCATCTGCTTTCTGTCTCAAACTCAGTAATTCCTGAGGCCCTGATTGGTCTAAAATAAGAGTGTCCGATTGTGTGGTGTCAGAGAAAGGAGAGAACTTCTGTGTCACAACATTTTCCTCCTCGTGCTCATCGAGCACAGTTTCAAAGCCATCCCTGCTACCATATGACGAAGGCAAGTCCCAGCTCAGCGTGTAGACTTCTGACAGCGTTACTGTAGATATGCTTGTTGACATATATCCACTGGAAGCCTCGCTCACTGGACTGGTGGTGGAGTCTTCAGTTTCTGGGATGATTGGAGGTGGAAGAGGCACAGATCTGGGGATTTCTGTTTCATCAATGGGGACCTGGGGGCAAACCATAGAAACGTGGTTTTAGCCAAAGAGCGTCTTTTTGCCAGTTTCCAAAAATGGAATTGCCACAAATTCATTTCCAATTTCTGATCATAACCACCCTAGTGCCAGCTCCTGGTTAGTCCAGCCTCAAGATGAATGTTTTTCACCATTTCTGAGGATCTGACTGAAAAACCTACCTGTCAATCACAAGGCCAACCTGCCCTCAGTTTTTAAACATGGAAGCTACATCATTGTCATTCTACAGTCTTTGTACTTGGAGCCAGGTTCAGTTGGATACTTGGAGCAGCAGAAATGTTTGAATAACAATGACCAGCAGATGTTGCTGGTATTAAACATGAATGTATTCCATATAATCACAGTCCTGTTATTGTGCACAGGATGGTCAGGTGAACTTGTCGTGTTTTCAAAGTAACACAAATGTCTAAAAAAATTAAAGTGAAGAATCTAAAACGACAAACAGCGCTGCCAGAAGCCGTGCAGGCTTTTTATAACTTCATCCAACGTTTTTGTACCACGGCATTTACAGCCGATGACGAACGATGGGCGAGTTTCGGTTGACACAGACGGCATTACTGAATACACTCCACTCCGATCAGTTTCTATGTTTGGAAGAACAGATCTACACAATGTGTTAACACCATGCGGGCGGGGCTGGAGGACTCACCGCCTGCCGCTGTTTGCTCATGTCCTCTTCAACGCTGGCCGACTGCACCACGATGCGCGGCAGACTCTGCGACGGGGTCGGAATTAAAAAAAGCAAAGTTAATGTGACTTCAGATAAAACATCTCAAAGCTGCTAATTAGCACTGAAGGCTTTTCAAGCTGATTTCAAGATGCAATCAGGGGCCAATCAGCTCTGTCCGCTTCAAACCTGAAGATTAACAGAAGTCTGTTCATGCCACACTGCATGATGTGGTGATTAGCTGCTGTGGGAGCATCAGAGAGACAGAAGGACAGAAACAAGCAGAGAGAAAACTGAACCTGTGATGGTAACAATGAGGCTGAACACCGACCTGCTACGCCCTCTCTGGTACTAACATTAGGCCAGCTGACCGTCTGCTGCAGATGATTCTTCATAATTATGAAAGATGTGCAATCAGATTCGTATGTTCACGTGACGAAAGGAATCAGATATTTATTTCGATAACAGCGTTTCGAGATGTTGACACGAGATGCAGACAGTGTAATAAAAACATTGGTTCATTAGACTCGTAATCATGACAAACTAGTCAAACAATCAGTATAATTGCACCTTAATTATAATTGCACCCATCATCATTGATCCCTGCTCAGGATTCAAAACTCGTCATCAGTCAACTGATTAAGCACGAAGAAAACAAAAACCCATCTTGATCTTTAAAAGATGCGTGTGCTTAGCAGACAGGATTTTAATCATGACGACTGAGTTCATGCAGAAAGGAAGCTGCTCGATTTAGGACACGAGGAGCTTTGAGAGCAGAACGACGACCTACGTGGTCCGCAGGTCTGACGTCAGAAAGTAGGTCAAACAGGTCTATCCTACCCCTCGCGTGCTCGGGAAAATAAACCTGCAGGTCAACACAACACATCAGGTGCACAACAAATGCTGCCTCTGCTTTACTGGTTATTGAAATCAAAGCACAGCAAGCACCCGTCTGTGTTAACCGCAATCTCCACGTGTCCGTGTTCTCGACAGCCGTTCATCTGAAGCACGCCAAGCCCAGGAGGTGCTGAGGAGTAAACGTTTAGTTGAGGTTGTTGTTGCTGGCTGCTGTGCAGCATCAGTGAGAGGAGCTAATCACCAGGAGGCTAAAGTCACAGTTCAGCCATGTGAGCGCACACTCCTCTTTGGAAATAAATGCGCACCAGCTTTGGCACCTTTGCTGACGGTGGGCTGGCTTCACTGCATATCGTCCGTTTCAGGAAAATGCTGGAAGGTGTGTATTTAACCGAATCAAAGAAACGTGATGTCCTATGGTTTGCAGCACACAGTTTACTTGGAATTGTGCTTCATTTAACACAGCATAATGTGCGTCGACTAACTGCTGAAAGCTGCGAGTCAAAGTTGTGTCCTGGAACTCTTCATCCAGTCGTCACCCTGAGCGTTTAGAGCCAGGCTGCCAGATGCACATAAATCCTTTTAGTTTCAGGTTTTTAGCCACGTGGCTGCAGTGCAGCAGTGCAAACTGACACTTGTGTATTTTACTTTTCTTTTGTTGTTGCTGTTGTCATCTTTCAGGTATTGATGTGATGTGTGGTAGATCAATGTTCCAAATGTAGCATTAAAACCTCTGCATTTAAGCATCAGCAACAACAACCTGTGTATTTACAGCACCTTCAGTAAACCTCCAACAGGTCCGAGTGTGATCGTACAGCCGTAACACAGACCGAATAATTCCCGCGCTCCCTCTGGGACGATCGTTTCATCCGGAGAGCGTAAACTTCCTGATTTAACAAACGATGACTCAAACGTTGTACTCGCAGCAGTTCAACATTTCAGTAGTTGGTGCTGGAAGTGCTGATCAATCTCACGGACAACCACAATTTTAGCCAATAGTACTTATCATCTAGACCAGCGGTCCCCAAACCCCGGCCCGGTACTGGTTTTTATTTTGTTGTATTTATCTGCGACACTCCAAAGGCCGGTCTGTTTATGTCCGACAATATTTTCACAGACCGGCCTTTAAAGTGTCGCAGATAAATACAACAAAATAAAAAACAGAGTTTTGTTGGTTTTATAACATCAGTCACTTCTAAGGTCCAGAGATGTGCAAGTATCGAAAGTACAAAGTACAGCAGTATTCAAACCCAATGACAGCTCTACAATTCATGTAGAGCCCCAAACACATTCGTACGGGCCGTGATCATCGACCAAATTACCCTTTGGCAGCCCGCTATTATTTGCGTCACTCCAAGCTTTTGTTTTGTGTTGACCGTTGTAAACATCTGTGGCAGGAAGATGCTAATTAGAGCAATATTCTCAACAAGCACAGCGAGGCCTGCTGGGTTTCCTTTCCAACATTCCCCTGATTAGCTACTCTCCACAGCTCAAGGGCCAATCAGCCAAATGAGACGCTGGAGTGTTTGGCTGCTATGAAAAAAGCTGCATGATTGCAGAAGAGCAGATGCTGCGCAGGTTGAAGGAGCAACGTGTCAGGATAAAGTTCAGCAGCTCGTAATTACCCCTGGTCTACGCACAGTAAGCGCCTGAAGCAGACGTGCTCACGAACATCAGTCGGTGGGGACAGCTCAGCCATTCAGTCTTGTGCATCGCTTTGATTTGCCCGTTTCTTATGACAGATGCTCTTCCTGACATCGCCCGAAGGATGTGTGGTTTACACACTCGTCTGCCTTCACATGGCAGACGAGTGTGTAAACCACTACACTCCATTTTATTAGCAGCTGAAAAAAGATGCGGCCATCATGGCGCCACGTGTTGGTTCATGAACCGCCGTCTCTCGGGTAGTGGAGTACTACACTAACAGCTGGTGCCAGCTGGCCGATTAGCCTGTCCAGAAATGCACACCACACGCTCAGCTGGTAATTAGTGCCACCATAGTAAGTAATACGAGGATTTCACTAATTAGATTTGTCACATAATTTCTTTCACAATGTTCCGAAAAGCATCAAGTCCAGTGTTTTGAATTAGGTTTGTGAGCCTGTGAGGTTACAGGATGATAATAATAATCGTCGCTGTCCTAACCGTTCCCTAAACAGGAGACATGTTAGCAGCTACCTGAAAGGTGATGGCAGCTGTGTCTCTATCGGGCTGTAGTAATGTTGGCCATTTTAATATGGACGTCGGCGGGATTTACTCCGTTTTGCCAAAACAAAACACTCTGCAAACCATCCAAAGCTTTTATTCACAACATGCTTTTCTTCGTAATCTTAAAACGACGAGGCAAAAGGTGCACTTACATCATCTGCCTCATATTTCTGTTTCCACAGACATTAGCTCTGTTTCTATGGCAACAGAAGAACTCAGACTGTTGATGAGGAGATGGCGTGTTCAGATTCAGGTAGCAGCGACGCATACGAACTTTAAATCCCTGATAAGGATGCAGGTCGAAGACAAGCTTTAATGCAGAGCACAATAAACAGACCGAATGAGCCTACCTGCTGATGGACAGCTGTCTGGTCTCTGCCCTCTTTCCCACCAGGAAGCAGCGACTTCAGTAGCCTGGGTACGGCCTTCACTAAAGGGAGAGAAGAAGCAGTGAAGCCTGAATGCTCTGCAGAAGAAGGAAGAGGAGATGGAGAAGGGGGGCAGAGAAAAACCAAACAAACCAAACCATTTTTGAGAATAAGACTCTTAAAGAGAAAAAGTTTGCCCCAGACTAAAGCATCAGATGCACAGCTGATGACATCAAAGGTCACACAGAGGGTGTTTTTAAATAGCTGTACCCGTCTCTGCGTTCAGATTCTGGGACAAGGAGCTGGGAAGGGTGCGTCTGGAAGGAGGAGGCGGCGCCACAGAGAGGTCGTGATGACTGTCCCAGGCCTGCAGACACGATGAAGAGCACTTCAGTCTTTGTGGGAGCAACATCCAATGGCTGCCAAACACAGCTGCAACACAGCTCCATCCACTCATTCACTGCGTTAAGCTACATCTTCTATTGATACACCGAGTTTTAGGAATTTCAACCATTTTTAGTTAATTTTTGTTACCATTTGTCCACAGTGTTTAAGTCATACGTCATTCACCGAGGTTACACAGATTACTTGTACAGGGCTGGGTTTAAGTCCTGAATCGATTTAAGTATAAATGTATTTTGGCAGAAACGGCAGAATCTCCGATTAAAGCTCACAAAACTGTTTCATTAACTGCCAAACAGCTAAAACAGCAAGTAAACAGGGAAAGATGTAAGCGTGGATCGTTCACCCGACGGCGCGCACGCGAACACGCCGTCAGCACTGAGAGCCGACTCAGAGTCTGAGCTGCAGGTTTCGTCACTCTGACCAACACTGACTGAACCAGCAGCAAAACAAGATCCAAACGACGCTTCTCGTTTGATAAACATCGGCATTGATTCGGACTTTTTTGCTTCCACCACGATAAAAATCACACTTGCTGCACAGCTCGCTCTCAGTGCACACATTTACGATCAAATCTGTTTCCTGCGTTATTCGCTTGCTTATGGGTAGCTGTGGCTCAGGTGGCAGAGCAGGTCAGTCACTAATCAGAAGGTCGGTGGTTCATGGTCATTCAAAGCACAATAAGATATCCTCTTCAGGTAAGTGTATTAGTAAAAGCACCTTGGAGACCCATCAGGTTTCACCTTCTGTATGAACCCAGACATGCAAATTAGTATCATCACAAACATGCAGTTAATTAGCAGGAACAACTGGAGTGTACTGAGGTTGTATTTACCTAAGCAGTACAAGCAGTTACCAAAGAGAAGCTGACTTCAGTGTCTCACCTTGAAGTCTTTGAGCTTAAGAGGGGAGGAGCCAAGATCCAGGCTGCTGCCTGACAGCTGGGTCAAAGGTTAAGTGGTTAGAGGTTAGTGAGGCAGATTGATGATGAGACTGGTTGTTGACAAAGGCAATCAAGAAAGAAAACCCAGAGTATAAACCAACCCCAGGTGAGTCGCTGCTGCCAACAGCAGAATAAAGAGACTTAACAACAGCAACAAAGTAAAGTGAGCCAGCTCACCCGCTCCAAGTCCGACGAGCTCAGGCACCGTCTGGCAGCTCTTCCTCTGCCAGCCAGCTGCTCCCTCACAGCCACC